CAAGTCAAACATTGATTATTTCTTTGTGTTGGGAACATTAAATATCCTCTCTTCTAGTTTTTTGAGAGTATACAATAAATCGTTATTAACTGTATTCACCCTGTAGTGCTGTGGAGTACTAGAACATATTCTTCTTATCTAGCTGTAATTTTGTATTTGTTAACCAACCTCGCCCCGTTCTTCCCTCCCTGCTACCCTTCCCAGTGTCTGATAAACCACAATTCTACTCTGCTTCTGTGACCTCAACCTTGTCTAGCTCCCCCTTGAGTGAAAACATGGTATTTATCTTCTTGTGCCTCACTTATTTCAGTTAACAGAATGTCCTCCAGGCTCATCTCTGTGGCCATGAATGACAGAATTTCATTCTTACCTTTTTATGGTTGAATAGTATTACATCATATAATATATATATATTATATGATGTGCACACCATATTTTCTTTATCTGTTTAGCTGTTAATGGACATTTAGGTTGATTCCATATCTTGGCTATTGTGAACAGTGTTGTATTAAACGTGGGAGTGCAGGTATGTCTTTGATATACTGATTCTCCTTCCTCTGGATAAATACTCAGCATTAGGATTGCTGGATCTTATGGTAGTTTTACTTTTAGGGAAAGCTTCATACTGTTTTTCATATTGGCTGTACTAGCTTACATTCCCACCAAAGATATGTAAGAGTTCCCTTTTCTCTGCATCCTTTCCAATATTTATATTTTTTGGTATTTTTTTCTATATGGAACCCTTCACAAATTTACATGTCATTCTTGCTCAGGGACCATGCTAATCATCTTTGTGTCATTCCAGTTTTAGTATAGGTGCTGCCTAAGCAAGCCCTGTTTTTTGTCTTTTTGGTTATAGCCATTCTAACTATGGTGCGATATCTCATTGTGATTTTAATTTGCATTTCCCTGATTATTAGTGATGTACAGCATTTTTTCCTATGCTTGGCCATTTTTCTTGTTTTGAGAAATGTCTATTCAGATCCTTTGTGCATTTTAAATTGAATTACTAGTTTTTTTTATTGTTGTTGAGTTTTTTGAGTTCCTTATATATTGTGGTTAGTAGTCCTTCATTGGTTGTAGAGTTTGGATATACTTTCTCCTATTCTACAGGTTGTCTCTTCATTGGTTTCATCTGCTGAACAGAGCTTTTTAGTTTGAGATAATCCTATTTATTAATGTTTTTGTTGCCTCTGCTTTTGAAGTCTTACCTATAAAATTTTTGCCTGTATTCCCATATGCTTTCTTCTGATAGTTTTGTTTGGGTTTTATGTTTAAGTCTTTAATTCATTTTGAGTTGGTCTTTATATATGGTGAGAAATGGAAATCTATAGTTTCCATTCTTCTGCATATGGATACCCAATTTTCTCCACAACAATTATTGAAGAAATTATCCTCTTCCCAACATAAGTTCTTATAGCCTTTGTTGTAAATTAGTTGGCTATAAATTGTTGGATTTATTTCTGGGTTCTTTATTTTGTTCCATTGGTCCATGTGTCTGTCTTTATACTAGTACCATGTTGTTTTGGTTATTGTAGCTTTGTGGTATAGTTTGAAGTCAGAAAGTGTGTGTGATGCTTCCTGCTTTTTCCTTTTTGTGCATATTGTTTTGGTTATTCAGGGTCTTTTACGGTTCCCTGCAAATTTTAGGATTAAGAAAACATTCTAGGAAGAATGTCATTGGTATTTTAATAAGGCTTGCATTAAGTCTGTAGATTGCTTTGGGCAGTTTGGTCATTTTAGCAACATTTAGTTTTCCAATCCATGAGCATAGGATGTCTATTTTTTTGTGTTCTCTTCAATTTATATGTTTATTTAATTTATATATATTTTTTATTTGAGACAGGCAGGTCTTGAACTCCTGAACTCAAGTGATCTTCCCTCTTTGGCCTTCCAAAGTGCTGGGGATTAGAGGCCGAAGCCACTGTACCCATCCCTCTTCAATTTCTTTTATCATTTATAATTAGTTTTCATTATATAAATCTTTTACCTCCTTGGTTAAGTTTATTCCTAAGTGATTTTTATGTAGCTATTGTAAACAAAATTGATTTCTTTTTCAGCTAGCTCATTGTTGGTATATAGAAATGCTACTGCTTTTTAAATTTTTATTTATATGTATTTATTTAAAAAAATTGTTTTTGACGACAGAGTCTTGTTCTGTCACCCAGGCTGGAGGGCAGTGGCACAGTCTTGGCTCACTGCAACCTCAACCTTCCTAGGCTCAAGCAATCCTTCTACCTCAGCCTCCCAGATAGCTGGGACTACAGGTGTGTGCCACCATGCCCAGCTAATTTTTGTATTTAGTAGAGATGAGATTTCACTGTGTTGGCCAGGCTGGTCTTGAACTCCTGGAATCAAGTGATCTGCCTGTCTCAGCCTCCTGATTACGGGTGTGAGCCACTGCTCCTGGCTGCTACTGATTTTGTATGTTGATTTTTTTTTTGTGCTACTTTAATGAATCTGTTTATCAGTTCTAAGAGGTTTTTGGTTGAGTCTTTTGTTTTTTCTATATATAAGATCGTGTCATCTGCAAAGGGGAACAATTTGACATCCTCTTTTTCAATTTGGATGCCCTTTATTTCTTTCTCTGGTCTAATTGCTCTGGCTAGTACTTCTAGTATTTTTTCCTGTAGATGTATCTGTTGTGTTGTTTGAGTAGAGTGCTTTGGCTTTGTTCCTGGGTGAGCACAGTCATGTAGTCTTGGTGTGACTTCTTGGTGACAAACAGCCATCAGTGGTGTCAGTGAATTCCTCAGTGGCTTATGCTGTAGTTTGTGGAGGCTGTTGGGTGCTTTTGTTGGACACAGGGGTGCTGGGTAGTCTGGTCCTCAGGTCACTAGGTGACACATGTGGCTACATGGCATTCCTGCCGTTGGTGTGGGTGGCAGGCTTTTAGTGAACTAGTCCTCAGGACCCTGGTCAGTGTGCCAGAGGACTAGCAGTGATGGTTGTGGGCTCTGGGTGAACTGGTCCTCTAGTCTCTGCACTGCATGCATGGCTAAATGGCAGCTCTACGTCTAGAGGGGTGGGGTCACTGTCAGGGTTGGTGGCAACAGACCTGGGCATGTAATAATGTGCAGGTGCATGGAAGTCACACAAGGTATGAAACTTGAAGAAGGGCCAAATAGGTGATTCCTAAATACCCTCTTCATAGGGGATAGGGAAGGGGAATTTGTAAGCAATTTTGGAGGAAAAATAAATTATTTTGAAGGAAGGTGATTGGGCCCAAAGAACAGACAACAGCCTAGGACAAAATTCACGTGGTCTATGGCTGTGGCATCTACTCTAGTCTTGTTTCATGTGAGTTAATTTTCTGTGTTTGATAAGAGTATAGGGAGGGGGCCCAAGAAAATAGCATTCCTTCTGAGGGAACTTCAGAGAAATCCTCTCTTTGCACTTCAGGAGAAACAAAGGGATGAGAGACTGTGGCCGGGAGTGATAAGAGAAGGTCAGAGAGACCTTCGTTCTGAGGCTGTTCCTTTACTTCAAAGTACTGAGCATGTCAAAGTGCTATACTTTGGTTTATTTTCTGAGCCCCAACAGGATCTTTAAAATTTCTTCTATTCTTTATAATGTTGGAAATTATAAATCCTTCTAGAAGGAATACAATTTGCAAGGAGACTTGTTTTAATTATGTTTAATGGTTTTAATTTCAAAGGGAATAACTGGCTCAGATATTTTAGTAGTAACTTTGAGCTATAAATGAGAGTGACAAACAGCCTTCTGTGATTTGGGCAAGATAGAAAAAAATGAAATGAAACTAGGGTTGGGGTTATAGACAGAATGCATGTTCCAAGATTTGGTGTACTTGCTAGAGATAGGGGACAAAATTCCCTGCACTTTCCAGCAGCCAAGGCAATAGGGACCCACAGTAGCAGTTACTCAATTTATGGTGACGTTAAATAGGACAGATACTCCTACCACTTAGTATTCAGAAAAATGTTTTTTTGTAAGCCATCATAAAGAGACTTCTCATGAAGGATTCTGTCAACCATATCCCCTTAGCTAGTACAATATCAGATATCAATCACTTTTTATAATGTCCCTCAGCCTTGATCAGTAGTGTGACACCAAAGTACAGTACAAATAATTTTCTGGGGTCTTGAAACCATCCAGTCCAAGTAGGCAATTCTTTGAAGCTCTACCTTAATTTAAGAATAAAACGTAACAGCACGTAAAACAGTTTCTTGAATGGTGATTCTCTTTCGGATTGCACACTTCTTTGGGAAATGGATGATAGATCTAGATTTCTTTCCTTCTCAATGCACATATGCATAATCACACACATTTTGCATGTCATTTTAGGAAATTTACAATTTCAGAGTTCATAATCCCTTACCCTATCCCTCATCTCCTCACCCTTGTCCCACCCCAACCCTCCTGCCCTGACTGATCCAGGCTGAGCACCCTGGTCTTCAGGGCTGTCATGAGTAAACATGGTATGAACATGCAGTATGGAGATGGTTGGGCTGGTTGGACACATTCCTCTGCTTTAACAGGAAGCCATTCTGAGGATGGGAATTGATTTTCATTTATAAAAGTTGATGAATTTAACAGGACATGTCTGAACAAAAGATGTTTATTTCTCTTTAGTGGGATTGTAGTTAGGAATGTGATTTTTCTCAGAGAACAGCTAAGCATAACAAACTAAAAAGGGCCCCAAATCTCCCTCTTATAAAGGAAGCTCTAATAATTTTAGCCTAGAAAAATTATAAGGCAGGTGTTACAAAGGACCATCTGAGCTATCTTAAACTAACAAATTATTGGTATTTTGGTATTTGATATTCTTGCTACAGAGAGAATGTCTAACTTTAAGCACTTACAGTTTCTTGGTGAACCTAAAATAAAATCCTTGTGTAATATAACCTTGGGAAGCTGAAAAATGTTATTTTCTTTTAGAATTATTTATCATCATATCATAAACCAGTTATATGTTGAAAACGTTTATCCAGTTATATCTGCTTTAGATTCTCATTAATTGTGGTTTCTTTGTATTGCAGTGTTCTAATATTAGGCGCTTCAGGTGGAGTTGGTACTTTTGCTATACAGGTAAAACCATTTTTTAATCTTGTAAATAGGAGGATTTTGTTTACATGAATTTATAAGATAAATTATTTCTCCTTAAAAGCTGAGAGAAAGGTAGGTCTGGTAAATGCGCTGTAATTTCAGCTTGTTCTGTAAGAGGAAAATATTCTTTTTTTCAGTTAAAAAAAATTACTTTTTAGAGACAGAGTCTTGCTGTGTCACCCAGGCTGGAGTGCAGCGCACAGTCATAGCTCACTGTAGGGAAAATATTCTAATGTAGAAGGAAGCATTAATCTTTCTAGTAGTTTAATATGAGTGGGTGTGTAGATGTTCTATAACAAATGTAGGAAAGCTTTTAAGAGGGAAGAACATGGGCAGTGCAGGTAGATGAAAGTTTGCAATTTGGTAGGAAACAGCCAATGTCAAAAATTAATGCTAGTTTCCAATCAAAATTTTTGCAGGCTAAAAAGCCTGCAAATGTAGAAACTGATAAGCTGATTCTAAAATTTATATAGAAATACAGTAGTTAAGATGGCAATACTCCCCCAAAATGATTTATAGATTTAGTGCAATCCCTATCAAAATTCCAGCTGCTTTTTTTTACTTTGCATAGATGGACAAATTTATCCTAAAATGCATATGGAATCACAGGGGACCCCAAATAGCCAAACAGTCTTGAAAAGTAATAAATGTGGAGGACTCACACTTGCTGATTTCAAACTTACTACAGAGCTACAGTAATCAAAACATAAGGGTAGACTTATAGCTCAATGGAATGCAACTGAACATCCAGAAATAAACCCATACCTCTGTGGTCAATTGATTCTGACAAGAATGGCAAGACCATTAAATGGGGAAAAGAATAGTCCTTTCAGCAAATACTGCTGAACAACTAGATATCCATATGTAAAAGAATGAAGTTGAGCCCCTACCTCACATCATATTTAAAAAAAGAAACTCTCAAGGCCAGGTGTGATGGTTCATATCTGTTATCCCTACACTTTGGGAGGCCAAGGTGGGAGGATCACTTCAGGTCATTAGTTCAAGGTCAACGTGGCCAACATGGTGAATCCCTCTCTCTACTAAAAATACAAAAATTAGTCGGACATGGTGGTGTGTGCCTGTAATTCCAGTTACTCAGGTGGCTAAGGCAGGAGAATTGCTTGAACCTGGGAAGCAGATGTTGCCGAGAGCCTAGATCATGCCACTGCTCTCCGACCTGGGTGATGAGTGAGACTCTATTTCAAAAAAGTAAAAAGAAAAAAACCTCAAAATGGATCAAAGATCTAAATATAAGAACCAAAACTATAAAACTTTTAGAAGAGTAGGCAGGGAAATGGGAAAAAAAAAAGTCCTAGAAGAAAACGTAGGAGAAAGTCTTCATGACCTTAGATTTGGCAACAGATTTTTAGATATGACACCCAAAGCACAAGGAATCAGAGAAAAAAATAAATTGTATTTCATCAAAATTAAAAAAAAACTTTTTTGTATGTCAAAGGGCACTATCGACAAAGTGAAAAGACAACCCATAGAAGGGAAGAAAATATTTGCAAATCATTTATCTGATAATGGTCTAGTATCCAGAATATATAAAGAACTCTTATGACTTAACAACAAAAAGACAGCACAGTTTTTAATTAGCCAAGAATTTGAACTGACATTTCTCCAAAGAATATATACAAGTGGCCAGTAAGTCCATGTAAGGATGGTCAGTATCTTTATTCATTAGGGAAATGCAAATCCAAACCACAGTGAGATACTGTGTCCTTTTTTTTGAGATGGAGTCTTGCCTTGTTGCCCAGGCTGGACTGCAGCGGTGCGATCATGGCTCATTGCAACCTCTGCCTCCTGGGTTCAAGTGATTCTCCTGCCTCAGCTTCCCAAGTAGCTGGGATTACAGGCACGCACCACCATGCCTGGCTAATTTTTGTGTCTTTAGTAGAGACGGGATTTCACTATGTTGGCCAGGCTGGTCTCAAACTCCTGACCTCTTGATCCTTCCGCCTCTGCCTCCCAAAGTTCTGGGATTACACAGTGCCCAGCCAATACTGTGTCTTATAATAAAAAGCAAACACAGAAAATAAAAAATGTTAGCAAAGATGTAAATAAATTAGAACACTCATACATTGCTGGTGGGAAGTTAAAATGGTACAGACATTGTGGAAGAATTTGTTGGGTTCTCAAAATGTTAAACATAGAATTACCATATGACCTAGCAATTCCATTCTTATGTGTATACCCAAGAAATGAAAACATACATTTAAGCCTAATCTTATTCATGAATAACATAGCAGCATTATTCATAATAGTAAAAAAAAGTGGAAATTAATGTTTATTAATTGATGAATGGATAAACAAAGTGTGTGTGTATGCTATATACACACACACACACACACACACACACACACACACACACACACACACACAGAATGGAATATTATTCAGCCATAAAAAGGAATAAAATATTGATGCATGTTACAGCATGGATGAATCTTCTAAACATGCTAAATGAGAAAAACCCATAAATAAAAGGTCCTACCTATTGTGTGATTCCATTTATATCATATGTCTAGAATAGGCAAATCCACAGAAACAAAGCAGATTAGTGGTTGTCAGGGGTTGGGGGTGGATGGAGAAAGGAGTGGGGAATGACTCTTAATGAGCATGAGGCTTATTCTTGGGGCAATTAAATATTATGGAATTAGAGGTGATGGTTACACAATATTGTGAATGTATTAGAGGCCACTGTGTACTTTGAATATTTTAAAACTGTGAAAATGGTGATGTATATGAATTTTACCTCAAATAAAATGAAACAAGAAGTTCCACAAGCCTCCAGGAACACCATGGGACCCAGTGGCTGCTTCTGTTCTGGTCAGATGTGTAACTGAATGGCTCCTGGAAGAGGGGGCTTGATTAAGCCTCAGGATGAGGGGAGAGAGCCTTTCCCCCAATATGGGGCTAGTGAGTAGCCTCAAAGGCCACATTACTTTCCAGGAGGGAGGTTTGGGAATTACAGACCACCCCAGACCCACCTTAGACTTTCTGAGAACCCAGATGGTGCTGGGGGCCTCCTGTCTGTCTGTTGACTGAGTTAGGTGAAGGAGGTGAGGATTCCTGGTGATGCACACTTTAACTATTAATTCATCATTTAATAACCAGGATCCAGTCCAGAGGCTTGGTAAATATGAGATGAATGAATAAGTACATAGAAGAAAGGAAAAGAGGGAGAGAGGCTAAAAGAAAAGAGAAATATCATACATAGTAGGTTAGAGTATAAATTGGTACAGCCACTTAAGAAAACAATTTTGCATCTATTAAATCTGAATATAAATTGTAAAGTTTCTTAAAAAACAAAAACAAAAGGACAACACAAAAATTCTATTTTAGGATTATAACATATAGGTAGATAGACAAACATGTTTATCCAAAGATATGTACCAGAATTTCAGAGCAGGGCTATTCCTATTAAAATTCCCCAACTAGAAAAACCCCAATGTCCATCACCAGTAAAATGAGTAAGTAAACTCTGGCATATTCTTACATTGGAATATTATACAGTCATGAAAAATCTGTAATTGCACACAGTGAAGTGGATGAATATCTAACCAAATGTTGAGTAAAAGAAATCAGGCACAAGAGCATATCCTATATGGTTCCATTTAATGGCATTCAAGAACAGGTGAAACTAAGCAGTATTTTTAAGGGTGTTTATTTAATAAAATTTCTAAAAAACAAAAAGCAAAAAGGGTTACTGTAAAGGTCTTGTTAGTAGTTACTTTTTTTAGAGAGTTGAGGTTTTAATTGGGAGGCTTGGGGCAGAGGTGGTATTCTAGTTCTTAATTTTGAGTAATGGTTATAATAATATTTGACTTGTAATAATTTGTTAAGCTATATACTTATATTCTGTATGCTTTTATTTGTATTATATTTTACAATAAAAAATAATAAAATTTAAAAAATAAGTAATAGAAGAGCATTAAGGTTAAATCCCATGCAAAGCTATTATAAGGAAAGTGAAAATAAGGTATAGAATAACATACCATATAATGAAAGCACATCAGAATACATGCCTGGAAAACAGCCTGAAATTTAACCTATTTCAAAACAAATTAAAAGACATTAAAAATATAATATAAGACCTGAAAAAAACAAAATAAATCAGAATTGGAAAAACTCAGGAAAAATGTAAAACTAAATGAAAAATTTATTTAGTAATAGAAAACTAAACTAGGAGAAACTCAATAGCAAGTAAACAGAACACATAATGCTTCCTTAATGGAAACAAAATGCAGAAAAAAAATTCAAATTACAAAAGAAACAAAAAGGTAGGCTAGGCACAGTGGCTCCAATCGCAGCACTTTGGGAGGCTGAGGCAGGGAGACTGTTTGAGCTCAGCGATTCAAGATCAACCTAGGCAATATTGCAAAACCTTGTCTCTACAAAAAAATATAAAAATTAGCTGGGCATGGTGGCTTATACCTGTAATCTCAGCTACTGGAGAGGCTGAGGTGTGAGGATCATTTGAGCCCAGGAGGTCAAGGCTACAGTGAGCCGTGATCACCCCACTGCACTTCAGCCTTGACAGAGTGAGACCCTATCTCAAAAAGAAAGAAAAAAATAAAAACAGATTCAACAGAAAGTACCAAATATTGATGACAGGCAAGGAAAATTGAAAGATGGAGTCCTTGAAGGGGAAAACCAAAGCAAGGGAATTGAACCCATACTAAAACAAGAATCAAGGAAACGTTCCTACTGTCCTAAAATCAAATGATTTGAAATGACATGTTTAATAGCCACATCACTTTTCTAAGGACATGGACCCAGACTGAACAACACTAAAAGTTACTAAAAAAAAAATGAAGAAAAATTATAGTGAAATGACTGGCCTTTAGAGAAAAAGAAATAAGATCCTTTGGAAATCTAGACAAAATAGCACATGTGCTACTTACGTATCCATATAAGAATAAAAAGGTGATGTGACTTAGAAATAAAATTAGACTGTCAGGAGACTTTTTGTCAGTAACATTTTTGGTAGAAAAAAATGGAGTAAGATATTTAAGATACTCAAGGAAGAGTGCACCAAGAATCACTTATACAACAAAACTGGCCTTCAAGTATCATGGACACATACAGATTGTTACCAAGATCAAGAACTTGGGGAATCTTGTTCTTCTGATCCCTTTCTGAGGAATCTACTAGATAATGAACTTCTGACTAGGAGTGCCTATGAAGACATTTTAAGGACTAGTGGTAAATGTTCAACGTAGTTACCTATACAACAAAACTAAATGAGGGCTTAGAAGGAGACGGTAAAGGAACAGCCATATGCTCTGTCTGACGAGGTAAATATAGTGAAATAATTGTTATTATTTTTGAGACAGTGTCTTTCTCTGTCATCCAGGCGGGGATACAGTGATGTGATCACAGCTTACTGCAGACTCAACGTCCTGGGCTCAATGATCCTCTCACCCCAAACTCTTGAGACCTGGAACTACAGGCACATGCCACTATGCCCAACTAATTTTTCCATTTTTTGTAGAGATGGGGTATTGCCATGTTGTCCGGACTGGCCTTCAATTCCTGACCTCAAGCAATCTTCCTGCCTTGGCATCCCGAAGTGCTGAGATTTTGTTTTCTTTTTTGAGATGGAGTCTTGCTCTGTAGCCCAGGCTGGAGTGCAGTGGTACAGTCTCGGCTCATTGCAACCTCCGCCTCCTGGGTTCAAGCAGTTCTCCTGCCTCAGCCTCCAGGTTAGCTGAAACAACAGTCACATGCCACCATGCCCAGCTAATTTTTTTGCATTTTTAGTAGAGATGGGGTTTCACCATGTTGGCCAGGATGGTCTCGATCTCTTGACCTCATGATCCGCCCGCCTCAGCCTCCCAAAGTGCTGGAATTACAGGCTTGAGCCACTGCACCTAGCCAAGTGCTGAGATTTTGTAGTCTCAAATTAGAATTCGAAATATCAATGTGAACTCAAGAAATATTTTGTGTATGTGTGTATGTAAAGTCATCGCTCGAAATATCATTTCTCATTAAAACAAGGCAGGGCTTCACAGAGAAGTAGCTGATTTCAGATCTAGGGTGCAAATATACAAGAATAACCTGGAATACATTAAATAGCAAGAAAGCTATCAAAGACTAGTCAGGTCATGTAAAGACTCAAGAGCTAACTTGAAGAAATGCCCAAAGATGTAACAATTTGAGCTTTAGTAATAACGACCATTACACTGAGTTGAAACCTTTTAAATATATTTAAATCCATGTGTTCATGATACTTTTTTCAAAGAGGTCCCTTTTGGAAGATGAAAGGGAACCAATTTATTATCTTATAAATGATAAAGAGAAACGGTTAAGCATTTGTCTTGCCTTTCCTACATGAACTGTATAATTGAGTAGATCAAATAATATAATGAGGGGCAGTGTTACTTTGTGAAAGTATTCAGGCTGCGCACAGAGGCTCATGCATGTAATCCCAGCACTTGAGGAGGCCAGTGTGGGTGGCTCACTAGAGGTCAGGAGTTCGAGACCAGTCTGACCAACATGGCGAAACCCCGTCTCTACTAAAAATGGTGGACACCTGTAATCCCAGCTACTCGGGAGCTTGAGGCAGGGAGAATCGCTTGAACTTGGGAAGTGGAGGTTGCAGTAAGCAGAGATCATACCACTGCACTCTAGCCTGGGATAGAGCAAGACTCCGGCCCCCCCCCCCAAAATAAAATATTTCATCTACTTAAATAAAAAGAAGTAGAATTAGATGATTACTATTTCACAATCACCAATAAACAGATATAAGTATTAAGCATTGACAGTTGCTAAGATACTAAGGAGTGCCTCAACCAGACATGATGTGCCTCCTCTAGTTTTGCCAGACACTGTCCATAGTTTTGCTAAAGGGATTGAAATGGAATCTGATCTAGTCTCCAGATCCATCTGCCAAGTTGCAAAAAATAAAGAGGACAGAGCAACATGTCCCGTGGGTGTGCAGTCAGAAATTCCAGACTGTGGGGAACTCCACAGATGAAATGGCCTAGATTGTTCCACAGATAAACTATAAGACCACAGAGGATGGGGAGTTGGGGAGAGATAGCAGGGGGAGAAATACCGGATATAGGTGATGGGGAGGAAGGCAGCACATCACACTGCCATGTGTGTACGTATGCAACAATCTTGCATATTCTTCACATGTACCCCAAAACCTAAAATGCAATTAAAAAAATATATAAAAATAAAGGGAGAAAAGAAAAAGAAAAAAAAAAGAAAGCAAAGGGATAGAGCAAGAGCCTATGTAAAAAGAGACTTAAGGCCGTGCACAGTGGCTCATACCTGTAATCCCAGCACTTTGGGAGGCCAAGGCAGGTGGATCACTTGAGGTCAGGCATTCAAGATCAGCCTGGTCAACTTGGTGAAACCTGTCTCTACTTCAAATACAAAAATTAGTCCAGTGTGGTGTCATGTGCCTGTAATCCTGCTCGGGAGGCTGAGGGCAGGAGAATCACTTGAACCTGGGAACGGGGGGTTGCAGTGGACTAAGATCATGCCACTGCACTCTAGCCTGGGCAACAGAGTGAGACTATTTCTCAAATAAAAACCTGAAAATAAATAATTTTAAAAAGAGAGACTTAAAACATACCATTTAAAAAATGTACAAGACTATAATGTCTAGAGAATGCATAGTTGGGTGATAAAACTTTTTAAAATACAAGGGGGTGATTACTATAAAAATCAGGCATATGTGCCTGTAGTCCCAGCTACTCAGGAGGCTGAGGCAGGAGATTTGCTTGAACCTAGGAGGTGGAGGTTGCAGTGAGCCGAGATTGCACTACTGCACTCCAGCCACCATGCCCAGCTAATTTTTATTATTTTAGTAGACACGGGGTTTCACCATGTTGCCCAGGATGGTCTCAATCTCTTGACGTTGTGATCTACCCACCTCAGCCTCCCAAAGTGTTGGAATTACAGGCATGAGCCACTGCACCCAGCCTCTCCTTTTAATGTAAATCTAGTTATAACTAATTATTTTAAAATATAAGCCATCTGCATTTTAAAACCTAAGTACCATTTGTTTAGGTTTTCTTTTTTTTTTTTGTTTTTTTTTGAGGCAGAGTTTCACTCTTGTTACCCAGGCTAGAGTGCAATGGCGCGATCTCGGCTCACTGCAACCTCCGCCTCCTGGGTTCAGGCAATTCTCCTGCCTCAGCCTCCTGAGTAGCTGGGATTACAGGCACGCACCACCATGCCCAGCTTATTTTTTGTATTTTTAGTAGAGACGGGGTTTCACCGTGTTGACCAGGATGGTCTCGATCTCTTGACCTCGTGATCCACCCGCCTCGGCCTCCCAAAGTTGTTTAAGTTTTCTTACTCCAAGTTTTTAAGATAAAATGGTTATAGTTTCTTCTCCTTTTTAAGAGAACCTTTTCATATATTACCTATTACTTAATAGCTCATTACTTTGAAACACTGTATGATTCAATATTGTGTTAACACTTACTGGAGATGCAAATGATGATATATGGCATTTTAATGTTCTGGATACATTTTAAAGTCATTTTTCTGAAGACATGCTTTTTTGGGCCATTTAACTTTGCTATCCTTGAAAGTGCTAAATTTGAGGCTTTCAACTCCTGTCTTTTCTGTTACTGCTGAGGCACAGAATCCCTCTCTAAGTGGATTAGTTATAACCTTATGACAACAAGGTGGCTGGCTGTCTCATGTAAAGAAAATGAGATCTCTTTCTTGGAATTTTCCTAGTGAACGAAAGTTTAAGCATTTTTACTAGTCTCTGACAGATGGCTTCCTATAGTTCTTGTTAAGATGAGGTACTTAAAGTTCTTTAGAGATTAGTCTGATATATGTATACATGGTGTCAATGATTTTTTTTCAATGCAGTCAGTTTTTCTAATCTCTTCGTTTTTTTTCTTTAATTTTTTTGGGGGGCAGGTAATGAAAGCGTGGGGTGCTCATGTGACAGCAGTTTGCTCTCAAGATGCCAGTGAACTTGTAAGGGAGCTTGGGGCAGATGATGTAATTGATTACAAATCTGGAAGTGTGGAGGAGCAGTTGAAATCCTTAAAACGGTATGTATTAGAACAATGTTCACGCTGGGAATGGGAACAAGGACAGTTGATGATGCAGGTCTGAGATGGTTTGGTGGCTTTACAATCATGTTTGATTCTTAGAGAAGAATCTATGAAAACATTCCGTGTCATTAGAAGTTACTTAGGTTGGCTTCTGTTTTAATTCCAGATGTTAATATAACACAGTAACGGGATATGGATAGGTACTGAGGAAGTTACTTTGCTTACAAAATCTTTACGAATTTTTAAGTTAACGTGCTGGTTTATAAGAGGCCTGAAGACAAAATTGGAAATGTATTCCCTTCTGTGGCATCTGTCACCACAGGAAGAATATAGAGTAGTTTATGAAATACATGATTAGCCCAAAACATACTTTCCGTGTTTTGGCTTAACAAAGGCTTAAGAGAAACACTGTAAGTCTAAATCTTGGTAATGGGAGCATTGTGGATGTTCCCAGTGTGTCTGAATGCCAGGCTGTGGTTTGTCCTGAGGTACCGAACAGGAGGAATGCATTCAGGAATTTTCTTAGGTCCTGTTGATTTGGGCTTATTCATCTGACTTTTATCCAGCCGACATCAAGCTGAAGCTAACACAACTGAGGAGTATTTGGAAAGCTATTTTACTGCTCCTCTTTCAATGGTTTTCCCTTTTTTGATTAGTTTTCAGAAGTAAACTACTCTTGCCCACATTGAGTAGAAGTATATTTTTAAATAGAAAAAAGAAAAAAAGGGAGTGGTTATCTGACACTGCCCAGCCTTTCTCAGCCAGTGCCACCAACTCCCAATGGTAGTTTGGTGGTGCACCCAGGAGCAGCCAACTGTTCAGGGAGCTTCCACTCTTGCCAGGCAGGGTTCCATATGCCAGTTACAGTGGTGAACAAGACAAATGCCCATTTTCATGGAGCTTACATTCTTGTTTGGGAGCTTTTAGTGGTAGGTGCTTTGAAAAAAAAATGAAAGGGAATAGACTGAGGTGGAGGCTGTTATAGATAGGGAGGTTACAGAATGCCTTGTTGAGGAAGCCACATTTGAGTGGAGGCTTTAGTGAGCAAGCCATATGAATAGAATTTGTGTATGTCTGTTGCTCCCTGCTATATCCCTCCATCTGGAAGAGTGTAGTAGCATGTAGTAGGTACTCAATAATGTTTATTTAGTTGTTGAAGGAATCTAGGAGAACAATTGTTCCATCTGGAAAGAACAGCAAACGTAAAGCTGCCATGTCAGGAACATGCCTGGCATGTTTAAGGACTATCATCGTCCCTTTCAGAGATTTTTTCAGCCACCCTACCTGTGTTTCAGGCCTAAGCCTCTGTAGGCCCCTTGAGTGAGGACATGACAGGTCTCTGAGATGTGACTTCTAGAAAGCAGTTATTGTATCTTCTGATGCTTCTAGGAATAGCAACATGATAGTGGGCCAAGTACTACCTATTCCCCTCTATCTACCTTAAGGTTTGTTGTTGTTGTTTTGAGATGGAGTCTCACTCTGTCGCCCAGGCTGGAGTGCAATGGTGCGATCTCAGTTTGCTGCAACCTTTGCCTCCTGATTCTCATGCCTCAACCTCCCAAGTAGCTGGGATCACAGGCACACACCACCATGCCTGCTAATTTTTGTATATATATGTAAGTTTTTTGTAGAGATGGAGTTTCACCATGTTGGCCAGGCTGGTCTCGAACTCCTGGCCTCAAGTGATCCGCCTGCCTTGGTCTCCCAGAGTGCAGGGATTACAGGCATGAGCTACCACACCTGGCCTACCTTAAGTTTTATGTACGACTGGAATTTGTCACCAGAGAACTTAACAGATGGTAGGCTAGAGGATACTCAGTCTAGGCTCCCAAACCAGTGCTACACGTTCTTCCTCAGCATCTCTTCCTGGCAAGTGGTCTTACTTCTTTCGCTTGTACTTTTCTAGTAGGGGGAACTTCCTGGTTTATAAATGCAAGCCATTACTTTTTCTTCTTCTTTTTTTTTAATAGCTTTAGTTAAAATTGATCTTTGTCATTTCTGCCTGGAGTTTGACCTCTCAGTCTACCTATGAATATATTCCTCCTTTCAAATAGCAGCTTATTTTAGGTATTTGAAATCTTAGAGTTTTATAGCAAGAAGGGGCTTTGAAACCTTCAGTCTGACCCTATGATGCTGTAGTTGAGAAAGTGAAGGGCAGAGAATTTATGAGTTTTTGCATACTCAGTGTCATGCCACCAGTCATTTGTTGGGAGAGCTGGATCCACAACCTGGTCTCCACATTTCTTTCTCAGACAACGCATGTTCTAAATACCAGGCTGCCTTAGTTTTCCTTAAATTAAGTGTCTTCAAATTTGTTCATTCAAAACTTGGAAATGAAGTAGACACTTTTTTAGTAAAAAGAATGGTCATCTGTTAAGGTCATCATGCTCCTGCATTTGATATCCTTGGATTTTATCTGCCCTTCTTTAGTTCAGTTCCATGAAATACTCAGGATCCACAAAGTTGGCCAAAGCTGCTTTCAGGAACTTTAAGGTTTGACATCATCCAGACGAATTTGAAGGGAGCAAAGATTTACCAAAGAGGAATTCATCAACTGATTTGCTGAATTTATATGCATGTCTTCTCTACATAGATCTTTGTTTTCAAAAGTATTTAAAAGCTTCATTAGGTTTTGTCCTGTTTCAGTGGAATATAGTGATTGCAAAACTTTAGGTTAGATGTGAGAAGTTGAATCTCTATCAGTTCCTGTGGATTCCATTATGACTGAATTTTTTTGGCCTGCTAGAGCAGGCCATTTCTCCTTTTGCATTGTCCTGATGCTGTACCTGAAGCCAAATGATAGAAAATTACAGAAGATGACAAGGATGGTTCCATGAGCATTTCTGACTGTAGAGAGAATAAAGGCAAATTATTCTTGTAGGTAAAAATCTCATACTTAACTTTCAAATATCCATGTGCACCAAAGAATACTTTATAGTGAATGAAAAGCTTTGCAGTTTTTTACAAACCTTAAGTCAGACTTTCTCAATCTTGGCAACCTTAGATTCTCAGCTATTGACATTTTGGGCTGGATAATTTTTTTGCTGTGAGGGGCTATGCTGTGCATTGTAGTGAGCCAAAACCACTTTCTGTTCAGAACTACTTGCTTAAGTCACTCTCAAGTACTAGAAAATGAAGTGGTTTTATGACAAAAATTAGTCACATTCAACTTACCTTGGAGAAAAGTCATAGATCTAGCGAGTAGATGTGTTCTTTCTTCTCTGTCAAAGCAGCCACCCCTCTGCAGGATGGCGAGGTGCAGTACAGTTTGACATTTGTTGCTGAATGAACCCTAAGTCAACTGGTGCTGGGAAGGAAGGAGGATCAGAGTTCAGTGTAAAGCCTGACAACAATGTTTTGATTTGGTTCTTCCTCTCCAGGTTTGATTTTATCCTTGATAATGTTGGCGGATCCACTGAAACATGGGCTCTAGATTTTCTCAAGAAATGGTCAGGAGCCACCTATGTGACTTTGGTGACTCCTTTCCTTCTGAACATGGACCGATTGGGTGTAGCAGATGGGATGTTGCAGACAGGAGTCACTGTAGGTTCGAAGGCATTAAAGGTAGGAAGAAGGGTCTTGGTTTGTGACTGCAAGCAGGTGCCTCCTGCTGCTAGAAATTGGTTTGCCACCTAGCCAGTTTCTCTTCTCTTGGAGGCTGCATAGCACAGTGGCTGCAAGCATGGACTCTTGAGTCACACTGACTGGGTTCAAATCTGACCTCTACTTAGTAGCTGTGTAACCCTGTGCAAGTTACTGAATGTCTCTAAGCCCAATCTCTTCAGCTATAAAATGAGGCTGATAATACATCTACCTTATGGCATTCTTGTAAGGATCAAATGAAGTAGTCCATATTGTAGACGTGGCACAATGCCTGGCACATAAAAAACTCTAATTAAATGTTAGCCTTTATTATTACCTATTGCCTCTCTTGATGACATCTGATGTTCTGTCTGTGCTTCCTTCTTGTCTCTACCTGATGGCCCTCTCTCTGTTTCATGTCTAAACACATACAGTCTCTTGTATATAAAGGTGAAAATTCACAGCTGCTGTTTTCATTGTACTGGGATAGACCAATGATTCCCAGACTGGGGCTTTCAGACCTTTAGAAGTCTATTAGTAAGAGAAGTTGTGCTTATACTTCAGTAAGCCTCCACTCATGCCTTTGCTGGGGTCATGTCAACTTCTTCTAACACTGCATATTCCATGTAAATTTGAAACTCCAGCTATTAATGGCATTATGGGAGTTCCTGGGACTTGGTTAGTCAGCCTGACTCTGAAACGGGGCCACTTTTTACTAAGGCTGTATAGAGCTCAACACTGAACACATCTCGCCCAAATTGCACACAATGGTGAGTGGTGACCTTGGAGATCAGGGCAGATCAGCTCAGTTACCAGACTAAGAGCAGAGCTTGGAGTCTACTCTCCACTTTACCTCGTAGGCTGTTGTCATCACATTGGGGACAGTGGCTTTTATAATTTCATGAGATAAACTGGTGGTAATTATAGCTCATTGGTTTAAAATATAAATTAATTAAAATGGAATATATGATAGAAAAAATAAAGATAGGCTGGGCACGGTAGCTTATGCATGTAATCCCAGCAATTTGGGAGGTAGAAATGGGAGGATTGCTTAAGTTTGAGGAGTTTGAGACCAGCCTGGTCAACATAGTGAGAACTCATCTCTACAAAAAAATTAAAAAATTAGCCAGGTGTGTTGGTGCACACCTATAGTTCCAGCTACTCAGGATGCTGAGGCTAGAGGATGGTTCGAGCTTGGGAGATGGAGGTTGCAGTGAGCCAAGATTGCACCACTCTACTCCAGCCTGGGCAACAGAGGAAGGCCTTGTCTCAAAAAAACAAAAAAATAAAAAACAACAAAAAAAAACTATTTTTTTTTTAGGCAAAATACTTGAGACTCAGGAAAAAGGCAGTAGAAAGTTCCTCGGTGGTGAAAAGGTTGTGAGTCACTGTGTCAGTCCAACCAACGCTGCCCCATGTTTGTGAGATGATCTTTAGCATTTTATTCTAGATATTAATTTGGGAGCTTTTGGGGGATGAAACTTAGAACTCTGGTCTCTTGAGTTCTGTGTGCTAACTAAATACTTGGAGGTCGTAACAAAGAGCTATGATGGAGGAGACCACGACTCAGTTCTTAGAAATATTATGGGTAATAGAGATGAACGAACCAAAGCCCTGCACTGTGGTGTTCTTTATTTCCGTTTGCTTCAGAAAGTAGCCAGAAACAGTGTCCACAGGGTACTTTGTGGTGAGAAAGGACTCTTAGCTGTCCTTTGTCTCTTCTTTCTCTTTCACAAAACCCAGATTTTCCAGTGCTTTAAAAGTAAGTTTAAGTTTTCTATAAGATTTCACAGTTTGTATTCCAGTGAGACCTCTTACAAGTCAACCTTCAGAGTTGTCCTTGAAGAGTAAAACAGGCACAGCTCTCTTCATTCTCTTTTTCTCCTGTTTGAAAGATGATAGTGGTAATCTCATGTGAAAACCTTTTAAGTAGTTTTCAGTGTCTTTCTGATTGTGCACGAAGTTGAAGCCTCATTGTCATGCTTCTGACTCTCCTGCCTGCTTTGGTTTACTTTCTTATAGTGGCCTGCAGGGGGAAAAACACAGACCTCTTGTAGCAAAATGTACAAATTCTGCTATTGCAGACCAAAAGTTTCACTTTACAGAGCCACATGCTGTGAAGAATTATAGATGTGGCACTTGTGACCATTTCTGTTCCTTTTTTAATACCCTAAACAGAATTACCAGAATGGTTTAATTATAGTCTATGAAGCCAGACATTAGGGAAAAGTATTTGAACAGACCTGTGATTGTCATTAACTGGATCCACAGTAAGCTTGGGACATTCTCAGTGCTTCTGGCACACATAAACCTTCAAACAGCTTTTTTCTTTTTCTTGTTTTGTAGAGACAAAGTCTTGCCATGTTGCCTAGGCTACTCTTGAACTCCTGGCCTCAATCCTCCCAGCTCTGTCTCCCAAAGTGTTGGGATTATAGGTGTGAGCCAGAGTGCCTAGCCTCTTCTTTTTAAGTTAGTTGCATAGACCAATGCATCCCAACATCTTTCATGCCATGACAGACATAGAAAATAATAGTATTTGATACAAAAATTAGTTGGGCATGGTGGTGCGTGCCTGTAATCCCAGCTATTCAGGAGGCTGAGGCAGGAGAATTGCCTGAACCCAGGAGGCGGAGGTTGCGGTGAGCCGAGATCATGCCATTGCACTCCAGCCTAGGTAACAAGAGCGAAACTCTGTCTCAAAAGAAAAGAAAATAATAGTATTTGAACAGCACATTGAGGCTGCCTTGGGTAATAGAGATGAACAAACCAAGCTCTGCTCCTCCAAGACCAGCCTATCTGGAGACTTCTACCTCCGGAAGCTATCCTGAGGGCTAAGGGGAGTCAATATCTCATCACACCAATTCTAGAGTAAGGTTGACTCTCTTTATAACTGTTGTCCTAGGGTAATTACTGATGATGAATCCTTTAACTCTCACAGGTTTTCTGGGTTAGATGATAGGTCTGTAGGGTCACTCACCCAGTTAGCCATCCTGGCACACTCTGTGGGAAGCTTTGCCTAGGCAACCACTTAATTTTTTCTTTCTTTCTACATTCTTAAACTGAATTGGTATTGTCTCAGTCTTTCCTCAATGAGCTTCACTTTCAGCACTGAACAAGTATTGGTAGAATACTTTCTATGTGTCAGGGATTTTATATACATTCTCATTTAATTCTTCCAACAATCCTGCAAGCTAGGTGGTGGTACCACCATCCTGCAGGGCAGGAAATGGGTAGCCTGACCAAAATAACATAACTCAAAAAACAAAAAAACACAAAATGCAACTAGTAAGTGCTGGGGTTGGAGGGATTCCATTGCATTTGCCAGCCTCATGCCATGGTAGTAGCTTATATCATACTGAGTGTAAGCTCAATGGAAAAGAAGTCTGAGCTCACCTCACAAGTTGTGGGTAGGTGTGGAGAGGGTGGCACTGTGATACTGGCTGCCCCTCTACTATCTCAGCTTGTTCCCACCTGATGAAGGTTTGGTTGGGCAGGTCATTGAGGTATCATGGAAAACCTCAGCTCATTTTTTGTTTCCATAGTGGCCCACCCTACCTTTGACCTGAAAAATAACAATTACAGCCTCGCACAGTGGCTCACACCTGTAATCCCAGCACTTTGGGAGGCTGAGGTGAGAGGATTGCTTGAGCCCAGGAGGTCAAAACCAGCCTGGGCAACATAGCAAGACCCTTTCTCAACTAAAGAAACAAAGAATAGCAATTACAAGTGGCTGTAAAGGGGTCATGAACCCTCTTGGTGTAAGATTTTTACTCGTCTTCATTTGGAGAGGTATTGCCCCAATTAGATGGCTTTTATTTGCCATAACTATAGGGAAAGATTCAGCCATGATGTATAAGGAACTTTGCACTTTGTTTTGCCTTTAAAGCCACTTTCTTCCTGTAAGAGCTGGGGGGAAAAAAACAAAACTGTGATTGGGCTTCTTGTCTAAGATCATATTTTGGTGACTTCTTGTCTAAGATCATATTTTGGTGACTTCTTATCTCCAAAACATTTTTTAATTTGGTGAAAACCTCTTCTGGTGCCTCTGGGCTTTATTCAAACCTTAGTCAGGAAAGCCCAGAGGTCTCAGCCCCTGATTTCTCCTGGGGAGGAAACTCATTTAGACGATCATTTTAAGGAAAGCTTTCCTGTGCTTACCTGTTCATCAGTTACAGTTTAGAGAAAGAGCCTGAGTGATATGGATATGTCTTTGTTCACTTATTTATGTATTAAACATGTATGGAGCATCCATTCTTTGTCAGTCATTGTGCTAAGGTGCTGTGCACACAACTCATTTTGTCAGCATGAAATGAGAAATGTTTGTTGTAGCCATCCAGAAAATGCTTTTTCCTAAATTTGCATTTAATCAGGTTTATCTTTTTCTATATTTGACATGTTTTGTTTTCCTATTTTTAGCATTTCTGGAAAGGAGTCCATTATCGTTGGGCATTTTTCATGGCCAGTGGTCCGTGTTTAGATGACATTGCAGAACTGGTGGATGCGGGAAAGGTACGTGCGCCTGGAAACCTGTATTAGAAGCCTTTGTATTTCTAGAGCTCCTCCTGTAGACCTGCCCACTGAGCCTTGTGGGTACTCCACAGAGGTGGCCTGCTCACCTGGCCTTATGCTGCCTTACATGGCCAAGTTTACATGCTGTGTCTTTGGTTTTGTCTGCATGGGAGGCATACACACAGACTGTTTCATCTGCATGATACTTTGACTAAAAGAGCTTCTCTCATTTCGTCAAACCCCCTTGGTTTAACAGATGAAGAGGTGGTCCCAGGGAGGTTGTATGATTCTCCCAGAGACACTTGGTTAGATCATAGCATGGCTGTGATCCACATTGGGCTGCTAGTATTTCATCAGATCCCCAGCTCTCCTGATTTCTAGGTGGGTATAATAAAATCGAGGGCAAATAAATAGTCCATCTGAGACAATCAGTGGCCAGGGTGAGGGTGGGTGAGGATTGTTGGGGATTTGAGTGAAGACAACTGGCTGGTGTACTCTGACTATGAGTGTCTGTTCTGCTGTGGACTCTGTGGGAACGGGATTTGCTTATCGTCTGGTCATCCTTTTCTGGATGTCGCAAGGCCTTTCAGGGATTCTGGGAGTTGAAAGCCTCCTCAGCTGCCACCTGTTTATTTGGGTTTTTACATGGTCTAAACCACCGTGATATCCCATCTCTGGAGGAATAACCCAGAAGGTGGTATTCTGGTGCTGATGTTTTTTATGTTTTTGAGAGATTATGTGGAATTATAGGATGGAGAACTTTGAGAAGGTTGTGTGAGATCTTAGATAGAGTGATTCTCATTTTACAGGTGAGAAAGCTGACTCACTGAGAAAAGGGCATGCTCAAACTTGCAGAAATGGGTGGAACGAAGCTGCATTCTCAGTGTTTGAAGCTGATTTGGGACTTCAGCCTACACTGCCTTATCTTTGTCACTTTGCAGAGGGCAGGGAATGGAGCTAGAGCAGGCCAGCATTAGCATTGTGTGAACCACTCTGAGACACTTGGGCAGAGCCCCTGGAGGTGGGCTTTCTTCTTCTGGCTCCTGCCTCTTGCTGGCGTATTTCATCTTTCCATTTTGATTTTGGAAAGGAATGTTTTTGGGAACTAATGGCTGCTTTTTATGTATTTAGGGTTTTTCTTCTTTCACAGCCAAGGAACAGTATAAGATAGAGGATGGTCTGTTACTGTTTCCCAAATATTTGGGTTCCAGGCTACGTGTCTTTTTGTGGACTTCTGAGTTTTGGTGTGTTCTGATAGGGACAGGGGCTCGGTGTTACTGTGACTGTGTAACTGCTTCTTCATAGGGTTCTCCCACATCCACAGGAATGCTTATTTTATTTCTAGGAAGAAGAGAATGAAGTATCATCAAGTAAGTGCTTCATGTGGTTGGAGCCCCATTATTAGAGAGGTCTTTGTCCTCCAGAAGTCCAGATTGTGCTGGTCCTGGTATCTGCTCCAGGCTATCCATCTGCTTACCACTCTGTTTTGTATTCAAAATACTGTGACTCTCCCTCTACCTGGAAATTACTGTTTATCCAACAGAGATGAGAGGTGACTTGTATATATCTATCTATTACATTTGGCAGATAACTTATAATGGCTAAAATAGAACCAGATTTTAAAAAGATGTCCTTGAAGTATTCTCCAGGACGTTGAGTGAGCAGATGTTCCTTGTGCTTTGATTCTAGTCTTCTACACAGGCTGTTTGGCATTGGAAATCATTCCTGACGGTGAAGGGTTCTGGGACCGGGAAGTTGGAATGTGACAGTGGATACCTTGATGAGGTCAGCTCTCTTGTCATGCCCCTGCTTCTGTGTGGATGTGAGAGGCCATTGCCTTTTTATCCTGGGAAATTAGAAAGAATAACACAACAGATCTTACTTATATGTTGTGTGGTTAGTCGATATTTGTTAAATTGGAGGAGATCATTTAAATTCTTCCACGCTTTGGCTGAGCGCTTAATGATTCTCTTTAGCAGGTAACTGTTAGAAGAGCCACAGTTGTTTTTTGATATGTAAAGCTGTGAAACAACAGAGCCCACTCTTTTTAAATACTTGTAACTTGGAAAAAATACATTCGTAAGGTTAGAAAACCCTAAAAATGGACAAAGTTATTTCAAGAAATCTTCCTTTGACTGCTATAACTCAGTCAGTAAGACTCTGCTTGTCAGATGCAACCAACATTACTAGTTTCTTGGGCATTCCAAAGATACTCTATCACAACAGGAAAAAACAGTTTTTTCCCTTTTTCTCTCTTTTCTTTCTTTCCTAACACACATGGATAACATACTCTTCTGAAACCTGCTTTTTAAAATTTTTTTTCCTAAAACAGCACATCTTCAACTTTGTTTTATGTCAGGATATAAAAGCTTTCTCATTCTTTTTTGTTAACAGCTGCATAGTATTTGTATGGGTGTACCATAATTTGTTTAATTTCAGTCTTTCGCAAATAATGCTTCAATGAATAACCTAATATTTATATTTAGTACCTAATTGTGTATTTAACCATTTCTTTTCTTGGAAATGGAATTGCTAAGTCCAAAGATGTGTGCATTTATAATTTTGATAATTTTTTTTTTTTGAGACAGAGTCTTACTCTGTTGCTGAGGCTGGAGTGCAGTGGTGTGATCTCAACTCACTGCAAACTCTGCCTCCTGGGTACAAGTGATTCTCCTGCCTCAGCCTCCTGAGTAGCTGGGATTACAGGTGCCCACCATAACACCTGGCTAAATTTTGTATTTTTAGTAGAGACTGGGTTTCAGCATGTTGGCCAGACTGATCTGGAACTCCTGACCTCGAATGATCCACCCGCCTTGGCCTCCCAAAATGCTGGCATTACAGGCGTGAGCAACCACACTTAGCCTTTGATAGATATTAAAATTGACAGCTTTTGAAAATCTAGTATGTATATTTAGTATCTAGAATTTCTCTTGTGACCTACCTTCTAGGCCCCTTCTCTCTTTCTTTACCCATCATCTTACCCTCTGAACCATGTTTACCTCATTAGAGACTTGTTTTTAAGAATGTGAAGATCTGGTACTGGTCACTTGTGATTTAAACTGTCTTAATAAAAATAGAATTTGACCTGGGCATGGTGGCTCATACCTGTGATTCCAGCTACTTAAAAACCTGAGGTGGGAGCATCACTTGGGCCCAGGAGTTCAAGACCAGCCTGGGCAACATAGGGAGACCCCATCTCACACACGCAAAAAAGAATCTGGATTAATGAGTATTACCGATAGAATCTAAATTCTGCTTGTTAGCCTTGCATGCCCCAGTAAAAATGGAGAAGCCACCGAGTTAATATCCACAATAATGAGCACTCTGTGTCAATCCGTTAATAGCATCATCCTTCTACTTTCTTATGAACACCAACCCTATCTTTGCTTTCTCCCAGTGCAGCACTCAGTAAATGTTTTTGGAATTAAGATTTCCTGCCTTTAATGTGCTTACTATTGTCAGGCTCAAAAGTGAAGAGGAGCTGAAGTTTCCGAAGCATGTGGGAACCTCGCAATCTGTTTTTCCTAGAGACCCGGTCTAAGGCATTGTTTTCACATGACTGTCATCAGGAAGGCTTATGCATGCGGTGGGACTCCATATTCATCCTATCTGGGCACAATTTCAGTGTGAATTTTAAGTTACCTAGTATTTTTATTCTATCTTAGATAAATGGTTGCAAACTGCAGCCTGTGGGCTACATTCAGTCTGAGGCCTGTTTTTGCAGATCCTCTGAGCTAAGAATGATTTTTACGTTTTTAGATTTGTTTAAAAAAAAAAAAGGAACTTAGACCATTGAAGCCTTCAAAGCCTAAATTATTCACTATGTAGCGCTTTACAGAAAAAGTTTACCAATCAGCCAATCATTATCTTAAACTAATAGTTAGATGTTTTGTTGGGTTTGTTTTTTGTTTTTGTTTTTTTTTTTTGAGATGGAGTCTTACTCTGTCCCCAGGCGAGTGCAGTGACATGATCTTAGCTCACTGTAACCTCTGCCTCCCAGGTTCAAGTGATTCTCCTGCCACAGTCTCCCAAGTAGCTGAGACTACAGGTGCATGCCACCACACCCAGCGAACTTTGGTATTTCTAGTGGATATGGGGTTTCACCATGTTGGCCAGGATGGTCTCAGTCTCTTGACCTCATGATCCGCCTACCTCAGCCTCCCAAAATGCAGGGATTATGGGGGTAAGCCACTGTGCCTGGCCTTTTTTTTTTTTTGAGACAGAGTTTCACTCTTGTTGCCCAGGATGGACTGCAATGGTGAGATCTCGGCTCACTGAAACTTCAGCCTCCCAGGTTCAAGCACTTCTTCTGCCTCAGCCTCCTGAGTAGCTGGGATTACAGGCATGCGCCACCATGCCCAGCTAATTTTGTATTTTTAGGAGGGACGGGGTTTCTCCATGTTGGTCAGGCTAGTCTCGAACTCACAACCTCAGGTGTCCGCCTGCTCTGGCCTCCCAGAGTGCTGGGATTACACTGAAAACCAGTCACACCAAGGTGCAATTTACAGAAAAGGCAGAGGAGGAGCTGCTCTGCTGGCGAAGTGGTGGCAGGGAGTGACCCCCCCCGGCCCTGCAAATATTCTCTTTCCCTACAGCTGCTTCACACAGCCAAGGAGCCGTGGGCTCTTAGACACCGGTTTGCAAACCACTGTTCTAGGCTTTCTCAAAAAGAATGATTTATAATTAGCCCCTTAAGCATAATGGGTTGGTACTGACGTGCCTTATGCCTACAGTTTATTGGCATTTTCTCCTTAGCACAATAAACAGTTCCTGTTTTCATACTATTTAACACCCTTATTTTTTGGTTGGGGGAGATTAGCAACAATTCTATTCAGGTCATGCATATGTCATTGATTAACATACTCATAGACTAGAAAGAGGAAAACCTTACACTTGTCTACTGTCTTCATCCCTTCATCCCTTCATCCCCCATCCTGCTGCCATGTCACATTTGAAGGGACAGAGGCCCTAAGAAATTAAATGACGAGCTCAAGGTCATATAGTTAGGCAGGGCCCAGGTCTCATGACCCTTAGGACAGTTCCTTCTACAGCCTTCATTGTTTTCTGCTTAATTCATCATCCAGATATCGCTACATAGAGTTTGAATTCTTGGTATTTGACTCCATCATCTTGTATTGAGAAATTCAGTATCTTTCAAGACTGAGAGGAGGTGGTGGTGAGGCAGTCTTCAGATGATAGCTGCTACTAAGAAGGACTGTGTAACTGTTTTGAAGGAAAATATTTATACATATTTGCGTGTATATACATGTATTCGTTTTCTCTTGCTGTAACAAATTACTACGAATATGGTAGCTTAAGACAACACACATGTATTATCTTATAATAATAAGATTTTGGTCAGAAGTCCAAAATGGGTGGGCAGGGCTGCATTCCTCCCAGAAGCAGGGCTGTAGGGGAGAATCTGTTTCCTTGCCTTCTCCAGCTTCTAGAGGCCGTGCCTTCCTTGACTTGTGGCTACATCACTCCAGCCTCTGCTTCTGTTATCACATCTTTGACTCTAACCCTCCTGCCTTCCTCTTATAGGGACCTTCAGATTACACTGGGCCCGCTTGGATAATCCAGGATAATCTCTGCATCTCAGGATCCTTAATCACACCAGCAAAGTCCTTTTTCCATGTAAGGTGCCATATTCACATATTTCGGGAATTAGGATGTGAATTTCTGTGGGGGCCATTATTCTGCCTACCACAATGTATAAAATACCTCAAAGGACACAAAAGGAACTGGAGATATTGGTTGCTTCTGAGGAAGGAAACTAGGTGGCTGGAAATCAAGTATGGGAGGAAGATCTTTTTTTTTTTTTTTTTTTTGAGGCAGGGTCTCGCTTTGTCACCCAGGTTGGAGTGTAATGGTGTGATCTCAGCTCACTACAGCCTCTACGTCCTGGGCTCAAGCAGTCCTCCTACCTCAGCCCCCCATGTAGCACTACCCAACACTACTTCTTGGACAGGTATGCCCCTAACCAGCTAAATTTTTTGTAGAGATAGGGTTTTGCCGTGTTGCTCAGGCTGGTCTCGAACTCCTGAGCTCAAGCGATCTGACTGCCTGGGCCTCGCCAAGTGCTGGGATTATAGGTGTGAACCACTGCACTTGACCAGAAAGACCTTTTCCTATTGAGCCTTCTGATGTTAGGAGCTTAATGTTCACAGATATATTCAAAATCTCAGATGCCAGCCAAGCAAGTGATAGAGATTTCTCAGTTTCTTTCTTTATTTTAGCCAGCATCAGAATAGTTCCTATGCAGCATGTTTGAGTTCAATTCAAAGCATTTACCAAAGGCCCACTAGCACTTCTTGACCGAGTAGATGGTGGAGAAATGTGTTGGTCACACTGAGTTGCTTTTTGAGCAGCACTGTCCTCTAGAACTTCCTGCAGTGATAAAAATGTTCTTTGTCTGCAGTATTCACTGTGGTGGCCACTAACTAAGCCACTCGTGACTACTGAACACTTGAAATGTAGCAAATGCAACTTGAGAGACTGATTTTCTTTTTATTTACTTACTTTTGATTAACTTAAATAGTCATGTGTCTAGAGGCTACCATATTGGATATTGCAGCTTCAGAGAAAAAATGTAATGAGTTCTGAGGTAGGTGATTTCCCAGGCCCGTCTTGAATAGCTGGGCCCTCATTTAGCAATGAAGTACATTCTAAACTTTAAGTCCTTATTACCACTGGATTTTGATTAGGGACGGAAGGTAATGATTAGGGACTGAATCCCTATGACCACTGGAAGAGGGCTGCCTCACTTGATGTGGCAAGTTTCTCATGGATCTCATGGCCTCAATGCTTCTGAAGTTTTTGTGATGCTGGTGAAATTGTTTCTATGAGGAAATTTATCTGGGGTTTCTCCGCTCACCTTCTGGCTTTCGGAACTACATGTTTTAGGAGTGCCTAGAGACAAGTCCCTGACACTTTCCCAAATGGGCACATTTACTCCCTTGGAGAGTTCCCCCGCCCACCATCCCCCTCCTCTCTCACTCCATCTTCCAGTTTTGAGTTTGCCATCTGGGGCAGGAAGTTTCCAAGAAACAGCAACTGAGAGCAAAATTTACCTCTTCCTTTTGTCCTCTTCTTATCTAAAGGTAGACTAAGTCCCCTTCTTCCTCTTTACCCCAACTTTGGAAATATTGAACCTATCGCAGAGGTCAGGGGCATACCTGTCCAAGAGGTAGTGCTGGAACTGCGGTCCTGGTGCCTGTCCACAGGTGTGTGGATTTGGACTCAGACCAGGAGCCCTTAGGTCTTCCTTGGTGTTTGCCACCTGTCAGCATCCCCTCACACACCTCACCCTCTGAGACCTGCAGCCTCTGTGCCTGGTGGAAGAAGAGGCCAAGGGTCTAGGAAAAGAAGTGGAACAGACTGTGACTCCCCAGATTATATCCCTCCCATGCAGTAATGACGTTAGGAGTCCTGCGTCCTTGTTTTGGCTTTGTTGTTGACAGCTCTGATCTTGCACTTACCACGCAGTCACTTGCACTTCAGTTTCCCAGTCTGTCAAAAGAGGCCCACTCAGATATGTTAACTCTATTGTTTTGTGATTCTCACTGGGAAAACAGGAATTGGGGAAAAACTTCTGCCTGCTGCCATGCCTGCCTAGACAGTGTCCTTCATCAGCAGCCTCATGCTCTTTCAGTAGTGAGAGGTTTTCTGTACTGTCTTCCCCTCAAGTGTTAGAGCCGGTTTTTGCCTCAGCAGGAAGGAGGATTTGCCCAGCAGCTGGTAAGCAGCAAAATTCCAAGGCCATGTCCAGAGAGATTGAGGTTCCCGTTGTCCCTACATTCTCACAGAAGGGACGTCAGACAGCAGGTGCCAAATCTTGGGGCTTGTCTTGGTTCAGCCTTTGTTTCAAGGATGCAAGGCACAATCAGGACCCCACACTTGGATCCAAGACTGAATGAGGGCTGCTCCTGTGGGCGTGTCCTGGCCGGCAGTGAGCCTCGTTTCCGCGCAGTGGGAAGCATGGGGTTGAGCCTGCCCGCTTTATAACAGGGCTCCCTGTGCCAGGTGGACTATAGCAGCGTCATCACATAAACGTTCCCACTTCACTGCGAGTAACCTTTCTTTCCCCTCTCTGGATTTTAACTCTGATCCCTTTGTCCTTAACAAACAAGTATTCTAAGTCTGATGTGAGGCTGTACATAGACACTCTCTCATTATCCCGTTAATCTGTGTTTGCTGTCATGGATTCAGCCAACAGTGGCATTTGCCCGCCTTCAATTCGAAACCTTTTTTTCCATTGTCACTTACGGGAATTGCTGAATGACCCATTATGCCGTGGTCAGCCCTCTCGGGTTATTTGCCACAATAGGCCTGACCAGCCAGATTAAAGTGTGCAGTAACTGCAAGCTGCCTGTGTCATCAGTTCAGGATGTGTCCCCGGTCAGAGCTCTAAGCTGAACATAGCTAGATGAGCCCAGGCAGTTCATTCTGGAGTTCAGCCTGTTTTGTGTACCTGCTCTGGATTAGTGCCTTAGGAGGCAGACACTTTTGGGTATGTGCACGGTACAAATTAGGGATCCCAAGAATAAGGTAAGAGGCTGGGTGAGCCCCACTTTAGGGTATATACAGATCACGGGGGAAGCATTGTCTCTGCCCCAGCCCTACAGGTTCTCATGTAGCTGTTCTAACAGGAGGCCTTGGACTCTGCATTTTAAGCATGCATTCAGTTGATTCCTTTTCCAGGTAAACAGCATCCTGAAAACAGTGTCCCAGGGGCTTTAGGGGAGTGATGGGTTCAGGTTTCATGTAGGACATACAGGAAACGTTTTTTTGTTGTTGTTGTTTTTTTTGAGACAGAATCTTGCTCTGTTGCTTATGCTGGAGTCCAGTGGTGTGATCTCACTGCAACCTCAGCCTCCCAGGTTCAAGCAATTCTCCTGCCTTAGCCTCCCAAGTAACTGGAATTACATACAAGTGCCCTCCACCACACCCAGCTAATTTTTGTATTTTTAGTGGCAATGGAGTTTTGCCATGTTGGCCAGGCTGGTCTCAAACTCCTGACCTCAGGTGATCCACCTGCCTTACCCTCCCCAAGTGCTGGGATTACAGATGCAAGCCACTGTGCTGGGCCAGGAAACATTAATGCATTCCATTCTATAACATTAATGCAGCCTACCCTAAAGTGGGACTCACCACAGCCCTTTCTTTGCCTTATTCTTGGAAAGAATGGAAGACAAATAGGCTTCATCTCATAAGCCAGCTCAGAGCAGTTAAAGTGGCTGTGGTGGTGAAAAATCTGAGGTCATGCTCAGCTTGCAGGGGATCAGCAAGTAGTGATGTCCCCCATAGGCGTGGATGGCACCCACATACTGCACATCTGTGATCTTGGTGGCTGGATGCAGGGCCTAGAGACCAGGTCCTCAGCTGGCACAAGGAAGGCAGGCCAACATGCAGGCTGTGATAAATCCCAACAGTCCTTGGCCACCTTTCCCTTCAAGGTTTTGGGGGTAAGTGTACACAGCAGCAGATGCTATAGGAAAGACTCAGTACATAGTGGTGACAGCAGACAGTGGCACCAGATTGAATCCTGACTCGCCATTTAGCAGAAGTGTGACATTGGGCAACTTATTTAACTCTGTCTTGATTTATTCATCCGTAAAATAACAGTATCTACGTCAAACAATGGTTATGGGGATTAAATGAGATGAAATCTATAGAGCCCCTAAAACAGTGTCTGGTACATAGTGAGGCCAGAATGTGCCAGCTATTGCTTTTATTATGACCTTATTGTGATTTGTGGGCACAAAAGTATTTCCAGCTTTTTGAAGAAAGGAACTTTGGAGTGTAAGATGCTTTTCTGGTGGCTGGGCTGTGAGATTCATCCAAGAGGAAGGTTCATCAGATGCATCTGAATGTCATGAGAACACTTCTTCCTCTTGTAAAAGGAAAAGCGTTGTAAAATCTATAGTTGGCTTATGCCTTCTGATAACTTATCCCTGCCAGTGGAGCTATGGGAGGCAGGCCACTGATATCCAGTGAACAATTACTGATTTTTGCTTAAAGTTTTGAAAAGGAAGAATTCAGTTGGATTTTTGCATGGAGAGAGAGGATGTTACCTGGGACCTAGTTTCAGAAGGAGGTTGCGGGCCGTACTGATAGTACAGTGAAAAGACCCAGCAGCATTGAAACATTTATGAACTGGCTGGAACGGCTTTCTTGTAAATTGTAACCAGCTGCACCGTCGTTTAGCAAAGACTGCCAGGGCAGCTCCAGGGCCAAGTATTCCTGAAGCCCAGGAAGCTCACATATGGTGCTTTTTTTCCCACTTATCTTATTAGTTTTCACCTAAGTGACCTGATTAAGCTCCTACTATATGTCTAGCATGATGCTTGGTGTTGTGGGGGATGCAGATGAAGTGGCCTAGTCCCCTGTCCCACAGGTACTTTATGCTCTGGTTGGGCAGATATGCCAGACACTTAACAAATCACACACACACACACACACACACACACACACACACACACACTTTCCATGCACTCTTTTTTTTTTTATAAGACGGGGTTTCACAATGTTGGTCTGGCTGGTCTTGAACTCCCAACCTCAGGTGATCTGCCTGCCTTGGCCTCCAAAGTGCTTGGATTACAGGCGTGAGCCACTACGCCAGGCCTCCATGCACTCTTTAAGGAATTTAAGGAGCCAGGCGGATACGTACAGCAAGGACCTTGGGATGCCTCTTTGGTATCTACCATACACCGCAGAGTGGCTGAGATGTGTACTCAGCTGTAACAAGTGCAGATGGAGGAAGGCCACATGGTTCCTGTGGTAGCTGAAAGGAATAGCACATTGCAAACTGGGGCATGAGGAATGACAGTGTGAGACCTGGGTGGTAGAGTTTTCAAAGGAGAGGGATTTCTGGGCTGATTGACTCGTACCAGCAGAGGCACAAACATACTATGTGGAGAAAATGACAGGTAGACTGGATAAAGTCTGGACTCTGGATGAGGGCTGAGTCAGGATGGGTGTGGTCTTTGAATGCCAGAGTGGGAACTGTTGAAGGGTTCTGAGTAAGAGATTGACAGAACAGCGAGAAGTAAGACCAGGCAGTGGGGTGGGAGGGGCGTTAAGGAGAGATGCAGTAGTGAGGCAGGAGTGGAGGCAGTCTCACGGCTCATGTGAGAACCTGACCTGGGTCCACTGGAGAGAGACTCCAGAGACTGGCTTGAGAGGCACTGTGAAGAAGGTAATTACCAATGTCATCTGCCTTGGAAGATGAAGTTTTTTATATTCATTAGTCAACCTCTTATGTTTTACAGATCCGGCCAGTTATTGAACAAACCTTTCCTTTTTCTAAAGTTCCAGAAGCCTTCCTGAAGGTGGAAAGAGGACACGCCCGAGGAAAGACTGTAATTAATGTTGTTTAAATAAATATGCGGTTTAGTGATTGTTGGCTTCCTTATTTGGTAAGTGCCTGTGTGCCCACATTTTTTTCTAGCCATCCCTTTCAAACATTTTTTTCCAGATTAGATTATAAATTCCACACACACTATTTTAAAACACACACACACACTATTTTGGTCAGTAATTAATACAAAAATATCAGCACTTGGACTTGTCTGTAGTCAATAAAAATTCCAGATTGTTTTTTTCAAGCTGTTCTTTCACACGGGCTTTGCAGGTTCCTGTGGCACCCTCTATTTTACCAGCTCGACCGACTTTGTCTTTTTGAGATGGTCTCACTCCGTCACCCAGGCTGGAGTGCAGTGGCGTGATCACAGGTTACTGCAGCATCGACCTTAAGCAGTTCTGCTGCTTCAGCCTCCCAAGTAGCTAGGACTACAGGTGTGCACTACCACACCCAGATAATTTTTTTGTATTTTTAGGTTTCGCCATGTTGCCCAGGCTAGTCTCAAACTCCTGGGCTTAAGTGATCTACCCACCTCCGTCTCCTAAAGGGCTGGGATTACAGGTGAGCCACCGTGCTGGGCCTGATTGACTTAATGTTTGTACAGTACTAAAACTTTCAGTGTCTGGATGGATGTCGGCATGAAGAGGTAATTTAAAGCTGGTTCCTTCTTGAATTCTTCACTGAGCACCTTTCTAACCAGCCAAGGTTTCCTTTTTTCTTTCTTCACAATATCGTGGTCACCACAGCTCTTAAAGTTGTAAATCTCTTAGCATCATATATAAAAATCTGACTGGTGATTCATTTGTTTATGCTCTTAATATTGAAAAGTGAGGACACAGTTTCTAACTTTTTAAAACCCTTACATCCTGCGTAAGGGTTAGGCCTGTTTCAGCAATGGAAACATGCTTCTCCCAGGGCTTTTCCATGGAAATTGCAGCCATTCCAATGGAACCCAAAGCTCGCCACTTTGATGTCAAATGTTTACATTTAGGGAGCTCACCAGTCAACCCGTTGCAGTATACGCTTTTGAATCTCTGTTCATTCATGGTGTTTTTACTTCCTAATATACTCATCCTCAGTATTGCACCTGAAACACTTGCTTTTAACTTTTGATGTAGACCTGTTTTGAGATTTCTGCTTGGTTTATTCCTGTTAGACACTCATTTGGTAGCATATACGTTAGATGTAAGCTTTTCTCTAGAATTGCTGGTCTGGTCTAACTACTGATTTATTTCAAAAGAAAAAAAATCTGATTTTTCAGGTGTAAATACCAGCTGCCCTTGACTTCATCTGGAGGGCTCCCAGGTGGTAGTGGGAGTAAAATACTTGAGCCAGGATCTCATTCATCATCGTTTACCACTCTCAGAAACTGGAGTTTGGAAAGAGGGTGGTCCGCTGTTATACCAGCACTCCTCAAACCTGCTCCAGCCTAATCAGGCAGTTGTTTCTAATCTGCTGGCTGACTCTGAAGGGTTAGATGAGGGCTGAATGCACTCTCAGATTGCATCAACATAGTTAACCAGAAACAAATTTATTTAAGAGATCAGTTCAGCACAGGCTATTGTAGAATGTCTTGCCCCACCATATTGTAATGGTATGCACAATAAGGCCTAAAATCAGAGCTATACATCTAGGAACAAGACAGACATGGTGGATGCTGTTGCACATGTGCCAATACTATTTCAAAACAAGATAAACTTATTCTAATGACCATAACTGCCTACCATAGACTCCAAAGCTGATCAGAGTTTCTAATTTTGGAATTAGAAACACACTTGAACAGATGGAAAGGAAACAAGTTGTTCTACCTGTGACAGGAGCAGCAGTATTAAGTGATGAGGACAAAAAGAGGAAGAATATATTCAAGGAAATGCTTAGCGCTTTTGTTTAACGCTAGAACCCACTGTTTTGAAGAGCAGTGTATGGGCCGGTGTCTTGTCGGCAGTTAAGCAGTCTGTTTGCATTCTTGAAATGCTTACTGCAGTTGAGGGTTCCAAGATTGCTTGAAGATTGATTTGATTCCAGTCAAATCATGAGTTCCAAGACTTGACCAGCAACATCCCTGAAGGTCTCTTTTCCTTCACTTTCTGGGGATAATTAATTGCTGTCATCCTCTTGAGCCTTTCTCACCCCATTTAGCGGCTACAGTGACCTCAAGACCTGAGGCTGTCCACCAACAGTTGTAGCCTGAAGCATGGCTGTAGAACACTGTAGGGAAGGCAGCCCCATGCAGGCCATATGCAGATGCAGCTGGATAGGAGGGCAAGAAATGAGGCTAAAAAATCTGAGTTTAGCAAAAAAGTCTGTAACATTGCTTCAGCACTTATAGATGAGTAAGGATGGCTCATAAATTAGGTCATGATAATAGTGTTCCAGTAGCAGCTATAAGAAAGGCATTAAACAACACTCATTTGTGATATTCTAGAGCTGCCCATGGATGAGTTAAAATAATTCAAATCCTGGCTGGGTACAGTGTCTTGGGCCTGTAATCCCAGCATTTTGGGAGGCTGAGGCGAGCGGATTGCTTGGGCCCAGAAGTTTGAGGCCAGCCTAGGCAACATGGTGAAACCCCATCTCTATAAAAAATACAAAAATTGGCTGGGCATGGTGGTGTGTGCCTGTAGTCCCAGCTACTTGGAAGGCTGAGGTGGGAGGATCTCCTGAGCCTAGGGAGGTAGAGGCTACAGTGAGCCGTTGACTGTGCCACTGCACTCCAGCCTGGGTGACAGAGTGAGACCCTGTCTCAAAAAATAAGTGTTATCAGACTTGGACATTAAGTTTTGTAAATGTATTACTTTTCAATATTAAGGAAGGTAGTATTTTGTTTGTATCTAAAGTTTCTGAAATGTCTGAATACCTAAGACTTTCCAGAAAGTGTTTAAGGCCAAGAACCAAAATTAGCAAAATTAGGCCAAATAAAGTATTTCTTCTTAGATGCTAAACAGTTCTCTTTCAAACTGAAGCCTTTATCTTACCCTTTAAAGTGTAAGGGCTTTTTGTAGGTCCACAAAGTTGGTAAATTTGTTCCAGTTCTCTCCTGTCACTGTCTTTGGACATAATTTAAAATGTACACAGTCTTGAAGTCTTGATATAACATTTTAAAAAATCACCCAGAAGCTGCTAATTAGGCAGCCTGTTTAAGCAGCTACCAGAAGTGAAGGAAGGGCAAGAAATGAAAGGAGGACAAATTATTGTTTAAAGCTGTGATAGTCTTTTGAAACGATGAGTAAGTTCTCTGAGTCATGGCAGCGTGATTTAAGGTTGAATTTGGAATCAGTAAAGGAGGAGTCGATCCAGTTTCCAGTTGGCTCTGCTGTCAGCATTGTCCTTTTTAAAAAACAAGGTGGCTGGAAGGACCTCCAGAAGATTTTCTTCCTTCTTTGTTCAGGTTTATAGAACCATGGCTTCCCATACTTGTGTAAACTTCTCTTTGCTGACAGTGTTGAGGATGATGTGATTTTGATCATACTGTGTACCCCCTAAAAGAAAGAAAGGAACATAATAAAAGATGAATGTGCCCATGGGGAAGGGTCTACAGCAAACACAATGTATCCCAACACCAGTACGGCAAAAGTAAACACGTAAACAAGGTATAGAACTGCGTGCCTCAAGGAGGCAAAGCAGGGAGGGAAGCCTGAGCCCCTGTGGGATGGGAGGGTCAGCCTGCCATGGGTGAATCTGTCCAAATCCCAACAGGGCACCAGCACCTTCACACAGGATATCCACCTCACAGGCTCCTTTTCCTACCCAGTTCTTAAGAGCTAGTCCACAGTCACTGTTACAATGTCTGAAATTTAAGGAAACAGAAAATTCGAGAGAAGGGAAAAGGAGCAGAGAGACTAAGATATATTTGGTGGTGAGATGGTGGATTTGAGACATCAGCTAGGAAAAAGTAGGCCGACCTGGCAGCAGTGGAAAGGCGGGATGAATGGTTATTGAGGAACAGCGTTTGCATGAACAATGAAAACAGGCTGTATTAGGTCAAAGGAGAGGTTTGGATGACACCCAGAAGTACCCAAAGGGACAGGGTAGCATTCTCACTACTGGGGCCTCAGCTGGTGGATAAAACTTCGTAGCATTTAAAATGCTGAGTGCCACTATATTGTAAAAGTATCATGAACTCGCTAACTCCCTTCTACCAGAACGTAAGGTTTTCCAAAGGTGCTTACTGGATGTTGTTTCAGGTACTTTAGTGCTAAAATCAGCCTCATAGCTTCTTTCTTTGGAGAAGTAGCATTAACAAAAGGGTTATCTGATTTTCTTTTTCCAGTGTGGAATAAAGATCCCTTCAGATGCCTTATCCGTTTTTAGCATAAGCCTCAGCACCAAGGATATATCAGCGAAGATCCCATCAAAGTGAAAATCTATGCATTTTGATGCAGGGAGTGACTGGTATTGAAAGCATGCTTCCTCCTTGGACCGAGAAGAAATAAACGTTCTTTTCTCTTTTGAAGCATTTACAAAACATGAAAAAGGTTTGAAAATTTACACAATAGATCTAAGTATTATAGCTGAGGAAGGAAATCGTTTCTTCTGCTCCTCTTGTAAGACACTGATTTATCACATTGATCATCCACAGCCTCTGCACAGCTAGATGCGTGGCTAGATGTACTACAGAATACAAAGCTAAGGCGCTTTGAGCCTTTTTGTGTAAGTCTGTAGCAGCAGGGAAAAAATGTTGCCACTACCAGCAAACCCTACCCTCTGCCGAGACAGACACACACAGCATACTCCACTGAAATTTCAGGAAGTATTAAAGTCACAGTATCTTCCTTTTTCATTCTTCAATATTATAATATGTTAAAATACGTTTTGTTTTGTTTTGTTTTGTTTTTTTGAGACGGAGTTTCACTCTTGTTACCCAGGCTGGAGTGCAATGGCGCGATCTCGGCTCACCGCAACCTCCGCCTCCTGGGTTCAGGCAATTCTCCTGCCTCAGCCTCCTGAGTAGCTGGGATTACAGGCACGCGCCACCATGCCCAGCTAATTTTTTGTATCTTTAGTAGAGATGGGGTTTCACCGTTTTGACCAGGATG